CCCAGCGGTGGCTCAAGCCAGAGGACAAAGCCGGTGTTGCGAGCATCCCTGCCTGCAAAAGTTGTGCCTGAATGCCTCCAATACTAGGCAGAAAAAGAAGCAGTGTAGCACAAAGGTTTGGCGGGGAGGAATAGCGAAGGAGCACAGCATGAAGGAAGGCTCAGGGACCGTGTGTGGGTATCTGCGGGCTGGAACTGTCCCCCAGGGGCGGGATCGGTCACGTACAGGTGTCACAGGGAGTCTGGGATGCTGTGAAGTAGTGGAAAGCTGAGGGTGATGTTGGGAGGGAGCAGTGTTTTGGGTAGGATACTCCAAAGTACTCGCAGTCAGCATGGCTGCTCCGACTGGCGTTTGTGCTGAAAAGCTCATTTGTACCCATGGAGCAACAGCCCCTACTGTTGGTGAAACCTTCTGGGCTGTGGCCTGGAGAGTGGAGCTCGCTTGTGTGAGACACTTGGAGCAGGACAGACAGCAGCCTGGCAAGAGGGGCAGGCACAGGGGCGGCGCACGCTGCCCTGCTCCAGGGCCCATGCCAGGGAGGGCAGCAAGCGCACTCCCTCCATGTCCGTCCCAGCTCCCTGGACACCTTCTGGCATTCAACCTTCAGGAATTTTCTCCAGCTGAAATCAGTCTCCTTGATGTTCAGTGCTGGGGTTGTGTTCACAACACTTGAACGAAGCCAGTCTCCCCACAGAGGGCCTGTGGAGGAGCCAAGGCTCCTGTCTGTTTGGTAACTCCTTTCTGCTTGGCTTTCCGTGGTGGCTCGCTGGAGCTGTCCTCGAATAAGCCTAGTTGAAACAACAGCTGTGGACAGAAGTGTGCCCTGTGTGAGCCCTCCAATCTCTGCCCTTTCTCTAAACCCTGTTGTGGCCATTCCCTCTGCAGGTGGAGGCAGAAGAGCACCAGGACGTGGTGGTGTACGACCAGAGCACACGGGATGTGAATGGCTTGGCTGCCGACAGCTTCCTCTCCATCCTCCTGGGCAAGCTGGACAGCTGCTTCCACAGCGTCTCCATCCTCACAGGTAGGAGCAGGGGGAGCAGAGCCTTCTGCCTGCTGGCTGGGATGGGAAGAACTTTCTTCTCGAGGGCAAGAGGCAGCAACTGGTGGTGTTGCTGCGATTGGCAGCATTGTGAGGCTCCCGCGAAGTGTGTGTCTGCCTTGAGGTGCACTGTTCCTCTCCGTTCCTCCTACAGGAGGGTTCCCTGGCAAAGGGAATGGGCAGAGGCCGAAGGTCATCGCTGGGTAACCTCTGGGTTCCTCTGGGGCTGGCATTCCCTGGGAAGGCAGCATGCAGGAGGAGAGCAAGCACGCTGCTCTAATTATAGCCCTGCTGCAGAGTCAGGGGCATGCTCACAGCTCAGTGACAGCACGAGCAAAATTCAAGGCAGGCAATCAATGAATGAAACTCTCCGACCCAACGGAGAGGAGGATAAAGAGGTGGCAAGTTGCTGAAGGGAAAGCTAAAGCTCCCTCTAATTCCCGGTGGCTGGGCGGCACTGCTCCTGCCTGGCTTGCTTCCCGTCTCGGAGCTCGCTCCCCTCCCGGGCATCGCTAGGTGAGGGGCACGTGGAGCCGGCTGCGGCCATGAGGACTGGTGCGTGCGGCCACACACAGCACCACGGCGAGCTCAGCTCTGCCGGCCTCCTGGGCATTGCCGAGTGCACTGAGCTTGGGAGCACCCAGATGGAGAGAATAGGCATTTCCAGGCCTGTTCCTGTCCGTGATCTGGTCCTGCTTTGGGGGTGACAGGATGTCAACCCCGTGTCTTGGAGGAAGCTAGCAACCGTCCCCACCAACCCTGTGGCAGTTCGCTCGGTGTAACAGAACTGCGGGTGGTTTTGAAGATATCCAACAGAAGCAAGTTGCGTTTCCACCAGCATTTCTCCTGCTGTGCTTGCTTGGCTGAGCTTACTGGGTACCAAGGGCAAGAGCAGCCTCTCGCCAAGCCCTTGCACAGCACCTGGCACGCTCTTGCTCTTGCCTGGGATCAGGAGGTGCAGAGGGGCAAGAATAGCGGCCTTGTGATGGGAACAGCAGAGCAGAGAAGCGTGACTGTCTGGCCTTCATGAAATCAAACATGAACATGGTCAGCCGGGCCTGGCTGCGGGTGCGACAGGGCGCAGGGCTGGCTGGTGAGCGGGGGTGAGGCTGTGGCGCGAGGAGGACGCAGCAGAGGCGTGGCCAGCGGCAGCCCCAAGGTCGACGTGGCGGAAAAAAGGGCACTGCTTGGAACCCGCTGCGTAACGAGGAGAAGGGAGATTCGCTCCCAGCCGGGAAGTAACCCACTTAGTCACTGGCATGGGTCAGGAAACAGCCTTGCCGGCACCCACCAGCAGCACTGCTGGTGTCCTGGGGTCAAGCAAGAGGAAGCTGTGGTGCCTTGGCTGGCCAGCTAGCAAAAATTGCCCACGTGTGCCCTGGGGAGCAGCTGCAGCAGTAGCAGTGCTCAGTGCAGGGGTCCGAGAGCCCTGCATCCAGCCCGCTACAGCTTTCACCTTGAGAAAAGCAGCATGTGAGCGCTGGTGCTGGTGCTGGGCCGGGCTGCCACCATGGCCCTGCCCACTGCTTTGGCACAGGTGGAGCCATCACGGAGAGGCCTCGGAGGCAGCAGCCCTACGGAGCCTCCTCCGCTCTGGGAAGCAGCGGGAGCTGGGAATACTTGGGTGACGTGGGCACAGGGCAGCTGCCTGCTGTCCCTGCAGCCCTGTGCAAGGCCCTGGGCATGGCAAGCAGCAGGGCAAAGCCTGGACCAGCAGCCAGGCTCCCGCGTCCTCGCATGGCTCTCTCCTGGGGGTGTTTCTGATGGCCTCATGTGGCCTGCCGTGCTGTGATGCTCGTGGCGCTGCGTGCGCTGCTCTGCGCTTCCCTGGCGGCGCCTCTCCAGGCACGAAACCTCCTCTTCCTTCCAGGTGCGCTCGGCACTTGCGGGGCAAGGGCTGTATGAGTGGTGGGGCCCAGATCTATCTGTGTATCTGTGCTGATCTATCTGTGTATCTGTGCTGGCCACTGGCGCTGCCGGCACTGCGTGTGCACCTGCGCGCGCGCACGCGTCCACCTGCACCTGCACGCGCACAGCCGCCCCCTCCGTCTGCGGGGTTTAGCCGAGACTCCCAAGCAGGGGTCTGTCTGTCTCTACTAGGTGCTAAGTGAAGTTTAAAACGTCCTAATTAAAACCTGTTAACAGGTTTCTGAGCCCTTCCCGTCCTCCCTCCGTTTCCCCTGTTGAAAAGAAGCCCTTGAAGAGCGGCTGCAGCCAGAGCAGGAGGGAGCGTGTTCCCAGAAGTGGCTGGTAATTGCCTTGCTGAGGTTTTGGCAAAGCCCTGTGTTCCTCTTGCTGCGGCGTCATGAGCCGCACACCCTGGAGCCTGTCGATTTGCTAATGGGAAACACAGGCCACTAATGCGTGGAAAAAAGGAACTGAAATGTAGAACACTGGGTCATGGCTGCTGAGTTTTATATGGAAATCATGACTCAAAAATACTGCTGAAAACATTTAGAGGGAGGCTGGGCACACTTTCTAACACACGCAGTTTCCTCCTTCCTGTAATGTGGGCAGCAGGCAGTTTATTTTAGACCCAGATTTGCAGCGCTTGGGAGGTCTGAGGGGGATGTGCCTGGTGGGCCTGATTCCGACTCCTTGCCAGAGTAAGTGGAGAGGTGCCCGCGGGGCGCGGGGCCGCCGCAGAGGCACGCGGCACGGGGGGCGGCGGGGGGCTCGCTGGTTTTTTTTCACACAGGACTTTGGGTCAAATCCTGGTCTCGCCTGTGCCAATCCAAAGGCCTTTCGCTGGCTGCCGAGGCCATACTGAGGAGCTGCATTAGCAGGAGGAGATCAGGGAGTACAGGAAGCCCCTAGCTGGTGCCCTTACCTAGTCCTGCCCAGACTGACTTCGTGTGCCCTTGCCCGCTCTGGGCAGAGCTGTCCGGGTCCTGGAGCGGGGAGGTGGTGGCCCCAGTGAGGAGCTGAGCCTAGATCTGCTCTCAGCTGCCACTTTGCTGCGGAAATCATGTGGGACTTCAGATAGCTCCTTTTCCCTGCTCCTGCTGCGCTCTGCCTGGGAGGCAGAGCCCTCCGCTTGGTCTGCACACAGCCTGGGTTTGGGAGCCCCGGTGGGCGCACGTCCGGCCGGGCTCTGGCGGAGCAGCCTCCGCTGAGGCGACAGGAGCTTTTCCCAGGGCGCTGAGTGGGGGGCCGGCTGCTTTTGGGGCAGGAGGGCGACTCTGCACATGGAGGAATCTCGGCCGGCTCCGGAGGCCTGGCTGTGCGCAGTGTCTCAAGAGGGCACTGCAGGCATTTCTGCTCCTTCCTCCTGCTCACAAGCGCTGCTACGCGAAGGCAGACGGGCATGCACGAAGCCAGCACAAGCCTCTAGCTGAGGAGCCACAAACTTCTTCCGCCGGCCCTGAAGGAAGAATTTCTCATTGCCGTCCTCCGAGGCAGCGGTCCCGCCGCTCGCTTCGAAACGTGGCTGCGATCTCCACGGCCGAGGCTGTGACGTGTGTACGCTGAAACACCAGCAAGTCTGCTGATCCTAGCCAGGCTTCTCTTTCCACTTTTCGTGGCTTCTACTGCTCCTAGTGAAATGCAGGCAAACTATGTGTCTTCCGTGCTGAAGTTCTGTCCATAATACAGATGGATCTAGATGCCAGCAGCCCAGAGGCAAAGGAAAGGGCTCCCCACACTGAGCCAACGCATGGTTCATTCTTGACTTTTTGAGTGTAAGTAAACGCCCTGGTCCTAAAAAATCACACTTACTGGTTCGACCTCACTCCGTTTCTGCATACAAAGTGTTAGATACATTGCCTGAAGTCCGAGTAACCCCTTCACTATCCCACACAGAGCAGCTGGGGGGTCCCATTGTTAAAAGGAACAAGGAGCCCCAGACCATGTACCTGCCCTTACCAGGGCCACAGACCCCCACGGATGGCTCAAGTCAGCATTTATGCTGAATGCAGGGACGCATTTGCCCCACGCCCAGGAGGCATCCCGCTGCTCCAGGAGAATCCACACTTCACCAGTGGCGAATCTGCAGTCCCACTCCTCTCCTCTCCTCTCCTCTCCTCTCCTCTCCTCTCCTCTCCGTTGTTACAAAGGGAACAGGCTGCCGAACTCACTGCAGTGAGAGCCCTTTCCCAACCCCTCGTGATAAAGTTAAAATAAAAAATCCAAAGAAATCCCCAAACCTCCAGACTCACTCAGTTGTCTCCAGCTTTTTTTCAGCCTCGACATATGACTAGAATTTCCTCTGAGGTGATACTTGTGAAATGTGATGGCTATTGAAACTGCGGCAGCAGGCGATGCATGGAGGAATCCCCCTCTTCCAGAAAGATCTTCTGCTTTCCCAGCACAGTCTAGTAGCTAGAGCAGATATGGGGAGATGGGACAGGACCCGGGAGTCCCACTTCACTTTTTCCATGCTTTGATGTCCCCATCTTGTACAAATTCAGTGCCTGGCCATTTTTGTTCATCTCCAGCCCACATCATTCTTCAAATGAGTCTGCTGCCTGGAAACAGCTGGTAGAGGCTGATGGGCAAAGATGGATGAGCTGAGGGTGGCAAGGCTGATGGCAGGAGCCCATCAAGGGTTAACATGCAGCAAGCCATGATTCCTGCCGTATTTGCAATGAGGAATCTGAGTCAATTATTCCCAGTCTTGGAAGTCATCATCTACTCTTCTTTCTCCTTTTTTTTTCTTTTTTTATTGTGTAAGTATAAATAGTCCTGCTTGCTGCCCTCCATCCGTGGGAGCAGAAAGCATGTTGATTTATATGGTTTTCCTGACATCACATGAAGTGGTGGAAAACTGAATGGAGCCAACATTTTTCCTGCATTACGTAATGCCCCCTCCCTCCCTCGCAGCCGAGCTTTGCTATTCCTGCAGGAGCCTGACTGTTCTTTAACCTTTGTTTATTTCAGCACAAACCCTGGCTTTTTTTTTTCAGTTTCTTTTTTTTTCTTCCCTTCCCCCTTGCAAACTCCCGCTTTGTTTTTATTAACAGCCATTATCTGTTTATGAAGCA